ATCGTGCTGACTGCTTAGACAGGGGTTGTTACATTAACCACCTTGTCGCTGAGGCGCGACATCAACGCTATTCTCCTATCTACTGCTCTCGTAGATGGCACAGGTGAGCATGCCTAATCCCGGAGATGCCTTCAAAATCCATCACAAGCACGGGCAAAACGATCTCCATACAAATAGGATGTCTAAGTTGCGACTTACACTGAGCATTTTGCGGAATTCAAAGTGCATGGCCGATCCGATCGATTCATATCCACCAGACTCGTGCTCTGTGGCCGGGATCTTCCATCCTGAAAATGGCAGCGCTATATATTAGGTTGGAAAGAAAGTTCTGCGACACTCTCTAAAATTTTCTTTTTTCTGAAAAATCAATAGGTAACATTTATGACTAACAAATGGTAGAGCATTCTCGTGGCTTTAATCCACGAGGTGGATATAAGTGCTGCAGTCAGTAGTTATCCAAGAAAATTCAAAAAACCCCGACCACTGGTAAATCCACACTGTTGCAGGACTCTCTTTCCAACCTAATATTTTTTATTCGATCAGGACTTATAACAAAAAAAATCACATCACAAATGAAGTGATAAACGCACGCTATTCGACAGGTAGAAATAGGATTGCTTGGAGCATGGAAAACCATCGCTTCCTTCATGGAAACTTGCAGTGTAGGCTAAAAACAAATATCAACAAAGATGATTTTGTAAGAATGCACTTTGATATTTTCATCTCTTAAAGAGTTGCTTACTGCGACCTCGGGGTAAGAGCAAACTTACATTCAACTGGTTTAACAAAAGAATGGAAGAAATGAAGTAGTGGATATTGCTTTGCCAGAAGAAGAAGCTGATAAATAGATGACATCAGCCAGCGATAGATCGAGTGGAAAGGCTGAAATAATGAGCACTAATTACTTGACTTGATAAATCTCAGCGGCCATGGTTTGAGATTTATTGCAGCAGGTAGAGGAAAAGAAACCCCAACAGAGGGTTGTGGAAGGAAACACTCGAATGGGTGATGACGACAGACTTTTGCGGCCGAACTTTAAGAACCTTCAAAAAAGTTTCCAACAACTCTTGGTTCAAAACGAAGCGATACCGTAATGTTGCACAATGCTGACTTCAAACCGACCATTAATTGCAAGAAAAATCGAAGAGACACTGATGCAACACACCAGGTGTGCCTCCCACCGGATCTCTCCTTCGATCTCCCCATAAGTTAGGTAAGGCAGCGCCTCACACCACCACTCTTGTGCTTATCAACCTCCTCTCCGTTGCCAAAATATATCCCACTCGATGGAAAATAACAAAAAAAAACTTTTTGAAGGCGCTAAAAAGCATGGCTCCGAGTATTTCTCAAACTTCAAGTCGGTCTGTCTACGAACACACTTGACTTGCTTCCAGTCAATCTTGATAGACTATTCAGCCTTGGGGAAGAATATGAAACCTCTGCCATCTTTACTCGATGGGAAGCGACAAAACCCGCCGGAAATTAAAATAGAGGCGCAGGGGTAAGCAGCTCACCGTGACTAACCAAAAATCGGGACGTAAATGGGGGGACAGCAAAATTACTAGATTGAAAGCCGAAGAACCATAAAGGTTTCGTGAGGTGCATCGTAATGGCATCGGCGTCATAACGACATTACGTTAGCTAAGATTTTTGCGATGAAAAAGTTAATTTTGACTCGAATCAGGGCCCAAAATTCACAGACGGAGGTAGCAAAAAAGTAGGAAAACACGTCATCAGCAGTCTGCTCCGGGAGAGAAACAGGCGTTTTGCTTTTTTGGCCACGTTGGATAGAAGGCACTTGCGAGCATGGCGGTCGCGCACCCCCCTCCATAACGCCGCAACCAATTCGAGAAACCGGTAGCGTGGGCACGAGGAACACATGAAAAGTAGGCAAACCGGAGGTGGGACGACAGGCAGGATTATGGTATTTTTCTGATCCGAGGAGGGAGTTGAGAGCTTAAACTCTCCAAATTGCTAGATAACACTAACGAACGATGAGCCATATCTTCCATTGATGAAAGCTATCGGAAAGAAGATCGGCACGTTTTTATGCCTGTTAACGAAGTTGCAACCAGAAGTGCACGGAATCTACTGAATAAGCGTCTTTCAGGGCAAGCCGCGCTTTTTGGAAACGGTTTCATGCATATTGTAGGGATACATGTGTGGACCACAAAACCGTATTTCGTTTTCGCTGAACGGTTTTAGTAGTATCAAAAAAGTGGTAAATGACTACCTTGATGGTTCGATCCCCCGCGAGCGACTAAATTTTGCAATCAATGGTTGGCCGGGTTACTTGTAGGCTTCAAAATAGTCCTGACTATGGATATGACATCTAATCTTGACCTTAGGCGCCTCTTGGGCACGCCGGATCTTCACCGCGGTCCGTGCCCTGAAGCCCTCATTAACCGACAATACCCGGCTTGAACCTGGCTCAACCCATAGGCGCCGAACGAAATGCAAAATTTAGCTCGCCACGGGGGATCGAACCCTTAACAGTACCTTATGCTTCTTTTTTGGTACTGCTATAACCGTTCAGCGAAAATGAAACATGGTTTTGTGCTTCCTACAAGCGTCCCTACAATATGCAGGAGACTGTTTTGAAAAAGCGCTGCATGCCCTGAAAGAGCTCCCCTGTGAGAGAAAATCCTGTATTCTTGGGCCTTGTGAAGAAATTTGATCGATTGAGATGATAATTTTCATTTAGGTCAAATTAGCTATAATCACTACACAGGAATGATCTGTAAAGGTACGAGAGAGGAAGGTGTAACTGCTATTTATTGCGGGTTTTCCAACTATGGTTTTCTTTGGTTTCAGCCTGTTTTTACAAATTTATCGAAAACAGTAATTCACGATAGAAAGATACCGTACCCGTAAGGAGCTGCCAGACATCACAACGACCTTCTTCTCCTTGCACAATGCTTGGTGATCGGTGTACTTCAATCTGAATGGATAAATGAATAAATGACAGAGTTGATTCTGAGAAGTACACTTGCATGTGACAAGAGCAGGTTGAGTAGTATAAAACAATTTGTCATGGAAACGCTACTCAATTAATCGAGAAATTGAATTTTAATTCTTCATGAATATTAAAAAGAATCCACTCGAGGAAAACAGAAGAGAAATCGAGAACTGGAGGGGAATAACTTCTACATAAATGCAAAAGCGCTATAGAGAAGATCCGAGCAAGGGAAGAATTAGAAGCAAAGCTTACTTAATATAAAAACGTTTCTCCACCAGTAATGACATCACTCGTTGTGAGACCCGATTAATTCCGCCGAACCATTGACTGATATGCTTGCCTTTGTGGATTGGATCCTGAAGTTGATTGAATGCGTATAGAGTCTTGAAAAGGAGGCTCAACGGCGAAAAATGACCTCTAAGTAGTCTTCATATGATATGTCCCTTTGATTACTGTAGAACACGTAGCCATGCTCGTCTAACAGCACACACCAGCGCCGATCATCCTGAACAACCCAATGAGTGAATGTTTTAGCAGATCCATTTGAAAAGTGCTGAAAGCTTCATGAAGAAGTGTTAACATGGAAACTGTGGATGATTTAAAGGAGGAGTTTACGATTAGAAGCCAGTGGATCAGAAACAAGATAGAATTGATCGGTGCTACCGGGGTGGAGAAAAAAACTATGAGGAAGCCCAAAAACTCTGAAGACAGGACCCTTTTTACCGTTGATTTCCGCACTGATGCGACTCTCATCAGTGCTGCCCTCAACGGTGCTCTCTCTGATAAACGGCTAGAGACCTGCGGCGAATGATTAGCCGGTCGGTGGGCGTGCCACGCCAATAGCGCCGCGGGCAAGGTCATGCTGGTTCGCCGTGGGCGCATCCTTCGCAGTGAGTTGCGTGCCGATACACACCCTTACGCGGTTCGAATGTTTTTCCGCTAGCTAGGTTACCGCTCCTTCGACCTTGTCGTGAAATCCTCTCTTGAAGGCAGACTTTCCGATTTTTCTCCGGAAAGTTGTATGGATCCAGTTAAGCTTAACTTAATTTTCAGCTGACAACATATTCTGTACTATAATATTAGTTGCTTCAGAAAATGTGCAATCGATATATGTAGCTGCCAATTGTTTACTTCTTCTGTGCCACACAAGGTTGATAATTGGAACCTTTTATTTACTGGCCCAACGTTTCCACC